AAAAAAAAAAAAAAAAAAAAAAAAACTTTTTAAAGGAAGTGGCTGCAGCAGGGATCCAAAATTGACCAAAGGTTTATTTGCTTAACAATGGTGTAGAAACTTGGACATCTTTAAAAGGTAGACACTCAAAAACAAAAAGATAGGTAGGTCCAGGGATTTAGCTCAGTGGTTCTGCTGCCTGCTTCATAAGAGCAAGGTCTTGAGTTCAATCCCTCGTACAATAATAATAATAAAAGATAACTCAGTTTTAAAATGGGCGAGGATCCAAATAGACCTTTCTCCCTAGAAGATGTACCGGAAGAGGTGCTCAACCACATTTGCCATCAGGGAGATGCAAATCAAAACCCTAATGAGGCCAGGGATTTAGCTCAGTTGTTCTTGCGCTTGCCTTGCAAGTGCAAGGACCCAACTTTGATCCCCAGTACCAAAAAAAACAAAACTAATGATATGCCACTTCCCTCCCGCCCCAGGATGAGTAATCAGCCAGATAGACAATGACAGTATTGGCAAGGATGTGGAGAAATCAGAGCCCCCACACATTACTGGTAGGAATATAAAGTGGTGCAGTTGTTTTAAAGAACGGCCTGGTCTGTCTTCAGAAGTTCAAAACAGTGTTACCACCTGCCGCAGCAGTTCCACTCCTAGTGATGTACCCGGGAGAAATGAAAACATATGTTCGTACAAAAACTTGAATGCACATTTTTATAGCAGTATTATTCACATAGTCCAAAAGTGCAAACAATGTAAATGTCCATCAATTTACACCTGAATGGAGGGGTCCATCTCCCACCCCACGGCTGGCAGGTTGAAGTAGGGAGAGAGGAGTAACCTATGCTAGGTCGGGAGAAAGAGGGGTTGATTTACCACAGAACTGGGTTCTGGAAAGCAGAGAGGAAAGGTTCAAGCAGAGGAGACTAGAGTCCCAAGCCTGTCTAAGGCTTAGCTGTAGCAGCATTGCCCATCTACCTCCTGTCTTACCAGTGCACCCACAGCGTGCAATGATGAGGTACTGGGGGTTGAACCCAGAGCTTTCACACTGTATATCCAGCCCTTTTTATTTTATTTTATTTATTTTATTGAGACAAGTTCTCACTAAATCATTAAGTTGCCCAGAATGTGCTTGAACTTTGCCATCCTCCTTCCTCGGCCTCCCAGAGTGCTGGGATTACAAGCAGGTACATTACACCTAGCTGAGACTTTGTATTGTAAAATTTTTGGAGGAATTTTTTTTTCTTCATTTGTTTTTCCCAGTACTGGGAATGGAATTCAGGACCTTGCACTTGCCAGGCAGGCACGGTGCCACTGAGGTAAACCCTGACCCTGAAGGGATTTTTAAATACTGCTTTTTAAAGTTTTTAGCTGTGTATGGCTCACTTAGTTTATCTTTCAAGTATGATTTTTCTCCAGTTGTCATCTATGGTCAGTAGCTCTGATATGCTACAGACCCACAATCAATTTCATGTGTCGTTCTTATTTTATGAATGCCAAATATAGCAATTAGCAAAATTGACAAGAGGTTTTGTAACTATTTAATGAATATTTATTAACTTTGATTCAGGAGCAATGGATTGACTTTTTATTTCATAGCCTGCATTTAAAAAGACTACATTTTGAATGAGTTTGTGGAAGAATAAAGAGAGCATTATAAATCACACTTCTCTTCTTGATGACTCAGAATCACAGCACGGGGGCTCTTTGTGCCTAAACCACATGGAGCCCTTTCCATCTGCATGTGTGGCCTCCCCTGGCTGGTGGCAGTCGCCTCTTGCTTTTCAAACCCAGGGCCTTGTGCTTGTTCAAACACTCTGCATCTGAGCTGTATCCCCAACCCTGGTACCAATCACATCTCAGCGGTTCATTTTGCCTCCAGTAACCTTCCTTGCACAATTGATAGCTCCTGATTGGCTCTGGTTAAGGAAATATACACGTGCATGTTAGAGTTATTTTATTAATTAATTATTATTAGTCCATACTGCAGTACACAATGTTTACATTCCTTGTGTGGAGTTGGTATGTGTACATAACGCATCTTAATTCCTTCCTTCATCCCCTTTTCCCCTGCCCCCCCATCTCTCATAAAGGCAAACTCAGAATAAAAATCTGAGCCTTTTCATGAAATCAAGTTCATGGGTTTTAGTACGTTGGCTTTCAGCATCATGAAACTATTTCCACTGCTTAGGCTTTATTTTTCAGGATGGAAGTTGCCAAAATCATTCAAGGACGTGTCTATTGCCAGATAAACAAAAATTATCTGGGTCTTTCTTGAGCAGTTTCTTACCCAAGAAGGTAAAGCATCCTGCTGTTGTGTTTCATCATAGTGGCAGAAGCCAGTTGTGCTGGGCCAGAAGGATAGGCCCTGTGCACACCATCCCTGTCCTCAGTGTGTAAATTGTCTCAATCAACCGTACCTCACCAGTCAGCTTAAATTAATTAGGTGAGCCACAAGAAAGTGAATTAACAAAACAAAATTTTTTTTATTTTGATAAATCACAAACCATTTAATTTGCCCACTTAATGTATTCATTTCAGTGATCTGTAGTAAAATCACAGAGCTGAATTTACCATCAGCACAATCAACCCTAGAACATTTTAAATCACCCGCAAAGGAAACCTCCTACCCATTAGCTGTCACTGTTACTCCAAACATCCCCAGTTCAGACAACTGCTTATCTACTTTTTTCTATGTATGTTTGCCTATTTTGGATATACATGTGTTTAAAGAGATTGAACATGGCCTTGAGTCCTGAGTTTGGAAGTGCTGGTATCATATGGGTCTGTTTCTAAGGCAAAATTTCCCAGGACAAATCACTTACCTTTTTCTTCAGCATAATACCAGCAACCCTGGGTTTAGGCTAAATGTTCATTAATCATTCTGAAAATTTCAAATACTTAGCACAAAGTAGGACCATGGGTTAGAATAGCTAAGGACATCTGAGAAACATCTTCTGCCCATGGCTTCTCAACTCATTGTTACAGCCTTATTTTACATAGCCTCTGATATCACAGAAATTTTTTTACTGAACAAAGCTGATATTCTTCAGATTAACCACAATTAAAGCCCACATTGCACAAAATCCTTCTCTAAACTAATAATTTAAATCTCTGCTGCCACTATCTTTTAATCAGAATTCCATTTCTGTACAAGTAACAATTTCCCATCTGTGTTTCTGCTCCCTTTCCATTCCTATATTTAATTTCTGGTGTCAAATGAGCAATGTATTCACCAACACTCTGGCAGTAAAGCCCAGGTGTAGGGTGGATGGGGAGTTCAGAGAGAGAAGAAAATTTGCAAATGTGGAATTACCCTCAGTTTTTCTTACAGGATGTCAAGGATAAGCATTCAGACTCTGGACCCAGACTTGGGTTTGAATTCCAGTTCTCTTACTTCCTAGCTGTGTGACCTTGAGTAATTTACTTCTGCACCTCAGTTTCCTCTTCTTAAATATAGGAATAAACACTGGCTCCATTGGGGCTTTGGGAGAGTTAAATGAGTTAAAGCAGTTAAGATGCTTGACCTACTGCCTGATGCAGAGCAAGATCTTAACCTTAGTTGTTGGAACAAGGAAAGCACAATGGTCTTACTGTAAGATTGGAAGAATCAAGAAAGAGGTTAAATGGCAATAGCATGCTTGGCCCTGTGCTCTGTACTTCATGTAAAGCATTTTCACCTGCATCATTTCTTGTATTGTTTTTAATTACATTTTTAGCAGAAATGTATTGGTTTACAGTTCTGGAGGCTAGGAAGTGAAGACCGAAAGAGAGGGAGAGAGGGGAGACATGTCTCCTCAAAGACTAAAAGACTTGTCCCTGTCCCTCTCCGTACCATTTATGGTGATGTGCACTTTGTACCCAGAGGAGACTGGGAAGTTATCCATGGAATGTGATTGGCGTAGACGCGGAATAGAAGGAGAATTGGGGGACTTTCCATCCGGGCAGGAGAGCAGCTTGGAATGGAGGTAGGAAGGAAGTTGTTGGCGATCCAAGCTGCCAGGGCTCTTGCTGCTAAAGGAGAATGTGTGAGAGCTGGCATGTGGTGGTTAAGCAGAGGGCAGCCTAAAGCAGAGACCACCCGGCACTGCAGGCTGCCTTCCATTCCATACCTACCTCGCCTGTGAAATGGGTGGTGCCGTCCCCACTTCCCTGAGCCACGCTGAAGATCGCATGAGGTTGTCTCTGTGGAGTACCCGCCACATGGCCTGTCCTAAGTGTGTCGTAAGCTGTAGATCAAGATGGGAAGGGGAATTAGGGGGTGGAGGAAAGTTGGGAGGGCCAGGAGGGAAGGGAAGTAAAAATGATTAAGATGCACCAATTCCCCAAGAGGAGTGTAACCACTATTGTCACAAACATACAGTAATTAAAAAGTGGAAACTAAGTGTATGGGGGCAAAAAAAAGATTCCTGATCCCTGACAGATGCCACAGTGCCGTGGGAACACTTAGCCATTTCTTTCCTCCAGTTGCCTCGTAGGCTCTTCGGACTGAAGCTCACTCATCACTTCTCCCCGGAGCCTGTCTTCCGGGGTATTTCTGACCGCAGTCCAGCAGGCACTGGAACCAGAGCTCTGGGGTTATGCACTTTCTGTAACCTTCCTCTCCTGCATATACCTTGCGAGACCAGTCTGTTGAGCCCTTAAAATTTACTCCAGTCTGTGTGACCCTCCCGCTCCCACTGTGGGTGCCCACACAGACCCTTAGGTCTCCTGCCCTGTCTATGCAGTATTCCTCCTATCCGGTAGGCGCCAATGTCAGGCTGGCTTCACACTTCAATCCCTTCTTCCTGAGGCTGTCACAGGATCCTTCCTTCCAGTACCACGGGTGGAACCCAGGGCCTCATGCATGTCAGACAAGTGCTCTACCACTGAGCTTTTTACTGACTTTTTTAAAATTAAATTTTATTTTGAGACAGTCTCAGTAAGTACCCCAGGCTGGCCTTGAACTTTCGATCCTCCTCACAGAGACCCTTCTGAAAGGAAAAACTAATGGTGTCTCTCACCTTGAAATGCTTCCTAGACTTAGGACCCAGGAGGATATAGTCCAGATTTAATGACACACCCTGGGGAGCCTTGGGAATCTGCCCTAATTGCCTAGCTCCCTCAGCTAGAGCCCTCTCTCCCTCACATCTGCCACTCCAGCCCCCCAAATGTGTGGGTCCCCAGGACACTGGGGCCTCCATGTCTGCTTCTCCCACCCCTCCTCTGTAGTGCTGGGCAACCCTCCTCCAGCCGGGCCCCTCCCTGACTTTCAGAACTCATGACAGGAATTCCCTCCCAGCTGCACTCTCCGGTAGAACTGACCATCCTCTCCTTGGTGCCTTCACCACGAGTAGCTGCCTCTCTTGTTTGGCATCTGCAATACCGTATGACGCCTGTTGACATGACTTCCTTTCCTTAGGCTGTAAAGCACCCATGAGCAGAGATCACACTTATCTCCCACCCCTAATCCTAGCCCCTGGCCGGTGCCACTGTCCCAGCACATGCGGATGACTCAGTGAGTGCACGGCCTGGGCAAGGATCGTAGAGAGTGTTTATCACCAACACTCCTTGAGTGTGTGTTTTCTAAGTGAATTTACATGTTTTCTCACTTTGGTGCTCCAACAACACATGACAGGTACTGTTTTTTGTTTTTGGTTTTGTTTTTCTGTAACAGAGATCAAACTCAGGACATTGCTCTTGAAAGGCAGGTGGCAGCAACGCTGAGCTAAATCCACAGCCCAGGACTGTAGCATTATTATCTATCTCCATTTTAATGGGGCTGAGCCGGGATGGGGTAGAACTTGATCCCAGCTCTTTCTTACCCCAAATCAACTGTGCTGTCCTCCCTCTACCTCTCAGTAAATCCAACCCTTGAGAGAGAATAAAATATTACAACTTTTCTTAAAGCTCAGTTTGTAGAGTCTTATGGGGAACCAGAAAAGGAATCCCGAAAACTCTCCTAAAGGAAAGAGAGGTCCTGGCCATTGAGCTTGCTGTTTGCAGATGGTTTTTCAAAGGTGTTTGAGCTGAAAATGAAACAACAGTCACTGAAAATGAATTGTGATTTATCTCTCTCCGATGTTTACATTTCAAGAAAAGCCAGCAGAGCTGTTTCTATAATGCATTTTAATTTCTTTCTTATTCTCCTACCAGACTTTATTCTGGCCTCGTGCAACCTTGTTGACAGGGCATTGTTTTATGGTTTATTGTGCAGGTCAAACCTGCCTTGCCATCAAGCACCTGTGGGCAAAGATCAAAGTTCACCTTGTAACTAATGACAAGGACAAATGAGACCCAGCCTGCCGCAGATGTAGCAAGCTCTGCATCAACACCCTTGGCTTGAAAATTCCAAGGCAGGAACATTTACACCTGCAGGGAAGGCACATTGTTGAGATGGGTTTTTTTTTCATCCTAAAGGAGCCCGGAAACTACTCAAAGTATGTTTGTGATGTGATTGTCACTGCCCCGTCCCCCTTCCTTCATCTAGGTATGCACAATAGCTCCAGCAATGGAGGTGCTGAAGGACTTCTGAAATGAAGTCTTCCCACCAGCAAGTGTTGTCATTACTTCACTGTTGCTGTATTTTCGTTTCAGATGGCTTTGTTGAATAGCTGAAATCATTGGCATTTTCTTTTTAACTTACTAAGCATTGTATTTAATACAATACCTTGTTCCACAGGGGAAACTGTACATTCCAAGACATTCTGTAGATTGCTGAAACCACAGATATTTCCAAACCCTACATATTCTTTTTGTATACATTTTTGCTTATTATAATTTCTTGTCTACATTAGGCACAGTAAAAGATTAACAATAAAAGCTAATAATGAAACAATTATAACAATATACTATTAAATTGGCAGCATCAGTACTTTTAAGCTTTGGGGCAATTACTAAGTAAAGTAGAGATAACAAACAGAAGCACAGTTGAGCTGTTAACTGAGGTGACTACTAACTGACAGGTAAGTACCATATAAATAGCTGAACACTCCAGAGAAAGGAATTATCCACAGGCCAGTGAGATTGTGCAAGGTTTTATCATGTTACTTCGAATAGAATGCAACTCAAAATTTTTCAGTTATTCTTTTCTGGAATTTTACATTTAATATTTTGGGACCACAGTTCATGGTGGGTTACTGAAAGCATGGAAGGCCAACCCACAGCTAAGTCATGCTTTGCTTAATAGTGGGGAAACATTCTGAGAAATGGGTCAAGGCATTAGGCAGTTTTATCATGAACTTATATAAACTAAGATAGCTACAGTGTCTTTAGGTAATATAATCTTTTTTTTTTTTCATTACTGGGGATTGAACTTGGGGTCTTGCTAAATCCCTAAATTTCCCAGGCTGGGCTGGAATTTGTATTCTTCCTGCCTCAGCCTCTCAGAGTGCTGGGATCATAGGCATGCACACCCAGTTTAGGCAATATAATCTTAAGGAACCACTATGGTATATGTGACATGTTGCTAACCCAAATGTTATGTGGCACGTGATTGTATTTTTAAAATATATTGCACCTGCCTTTGGGATCAGATAGGTTTTTTTTTAAGCCCTCTCAAAAGTGCTTTTGATATTCAAAATATATAACTCCTGACCTAAATGTCACATGTGCTGAGTTCGCTAAATTTCAAAGAATGAATTTTAAGAGACCGAGAAGGTTAAGAGTAGGAAAGGTTTAAGAGAAAGCTCCTGAGAGACAGGAAGGGTCCTGAATGGATGGCCACGGAGGCCATTTGTCAGGGGTAATTTGTACAGCAAAATCATACCATGGGTGCAGCATGGCTTAAACTACAGCCAATCTATAGGATTATGAGTTTATCCTCTTAGCTAATATTGATCAATAGGGAAACAAGTCACGTAGCAAGGATACATGGAAAGAGCAAAGGTATTTTGGGCAGGGAGGATGTGTCTGACGCTTATCTGGGCCCACTGGACCAGATGGTGCTGGTACCAGTATTATCTCAGGTTGTTTATCTTGAAGGCCTGGTTGTTGCATCTCCATCCTGAGGCCTGGCTGTCTTCAGATTTGCCTCTAGCCACAATTCTGATCTCTCTCTCTCTGACCTTGAGGGCCCAATTCCTCTCTGACTGTGTATTTCTAATTTAATTATCTATCATACTTTTATTAAAAAATGTGAATACCATAATATTTCCTAAGACTAGCAAAATTTTCTGTTAGTATAATATTCAAATTCAATTTGCCTATTGATTCTAACTTTGTAAAGAAAAGAAAAGGGTAAGTGGAAACCAGCACTTGTCAGCATTTGTGGTGTGGTGGGCATCATGTCAGGCAGTTAATCTACACCATTTCATCCTCTTGGTAAACTTCAAGGCAGGCAGGTTCTGTGATCTTCGTGGAGACTCCCACGGTCAAGGCATGTGCACAGAACTGCCCTGAACCCAGGCTATCTGGTCCTTAAGCCAGTCCTCTTCCTCCAAAGGACCGTCTGTACAAACCCAGGTTGAAACTACTGCCTCAGCTCTGCTACTCCTCTTGAAGACCTGTTCTAGTTCTGTGCCTCCCACAGGTGTGATCAACACTGACTTTGCCGCTTTCAAATACCCCAGCCATGGAGTGAAGGATACAGAAAGGCCTTCTTAGCCCAAGGTTCCTTGTTCTCAGCTGAAGCCTCTGGCGCCTTGCATCCAAAGCAGGAGAAATTGGGTGGAAGGAAATGAAGCATTCACCCACGTAGCTGCATCCAAAAGTACTGAGGCCCTAGAAAAAGTGCTCAAAAACTCCTTTGGAAGGTCAGAGCAGGGAGGAATTGGGCTCTGCCTACAGGAGAAGAGAGATTTGGAATGGTTTATGGAGGAAGTAGCATTTGACTAGAGCCTTGGCCTTGAAGAATGGGGGAAAGTTCATTTCAAGTAAAAAGGAAACTAAACAAAGACATAACAGAGACAGGAAGGTGAGACACTTGTGGGAAACATAGCATTGGTAGTGCAGTATTACCACTCTGCAGACCGCCTCATGGCTCAGGTGTCTCATACCCACAACCAAGTATTTTACAATCATCTGTTGCTGGGGGAGCAAGCTTCCAAATGATTCAACACAGCTGAGAACTCTCCCTTTTGAATGATATTATCTTTGGGCATAGAAGAGATCCCGTTAGCCAAGGTCACTTTTAATATCCTGTTTGGTTTTGCTCTTGCAGAAGGAAACTCCACTTGCCAATGCTGCATTCTGGGCAGCAAGGAGAGGAAATTTGGCCCTGCTGAAGCTGCTGCTAAACAGTGGACGCGTGGATGTGGACTGCAGAGACAGTGTACGGAGGGACAGAGGGACGGATACTGGTACCTGCATGCCCAGAGCATCCTTTTCCACCCGCTGGCATGAGAGCATCGCGTGAATGCGTGTCCCTTTACAATGCTTATTTATTGGTCCATGTGTTTGCTTGCTTTATCCTTTTCAAAAACCCCAAGATACAGTGGTGTCAGAAAGCAAACAGTTACAGGCATAAAACAATAGTAAAAGACGCATTTCCCTGGGAAGCGGATGGGCAGGTTCCAAGAAAAGGCTGTTCCATGAAATAACTCACTAAAAAGGAAAGAAAGGAGGATGGGAGAGAGGGAGGAAAGAGGAAGAGGGTACAGAGGAGGAGGAGGGGAGGGGAGATGGAGAAGAAGGAAAAGGAGAGGAAAATGTAGAGCACACATGGACGTGGGAGTTAGGTTATTTTCTACAAGGATAAGAAAACTAGAAACTGAAGCCTCCTAACCTTCTGTCACCTCTTGCAAACAAAGACATACTAATTGGCAAGTAAGAAGGAGGAATAAAAATAGATACTATGCACACTGTCAGGCACCACCTAGGAAGCCCTCTCCCTCCCCAGCTGGCAGCCACCATTTCTCTGTGAGACTTCTTCATGTTTCTGGGGACAAGGAGGATGTCAGATGAGAGGTGATTTTAGGATCTGAATCACAATGGTTTCAAAGAAACCATATTATTTTCCTGGAAATAGGGTGGACCATTCCAGCTTTTATTGCACACATTTAGAAGAATCTAGCCCGAGAGGGAAACAGTTTTCTCTGGTTCACGTCCTGGGGCATGGGATAGCTTTAGTTCTCACCTCCAGATCCACTCTACACCCTTCTCCCGCTGGCTCCAGAGTTTGAACCCTGTAGATCTCCCCAGCTGTCTCCCTGCCCCCCGGCTTCTAGGTAGGTTTGGCCCATGGGAACTTGCTTAAGCAAGAGTCAGAGGGTACAGGAGAGGGTGATGGGAGCCCAGTGCCTTCCCTGCTCTGTCGAGCAGCAGTGTTGTCACTTTGCATTGTGAGAGGCACTACCATCCTCTCACACCTTCAGGCCTGGCTGGTCCTGGGGCCCCACTCTTCCCACCTCCCTGAGCTACATTGTTCTTTTTAGTTTCCAATACCCAGACAGGTTTATAAATAGTCTTTTTATTAAACTTCCTTCTGTTTATCCCAGTTTGCACAAAGCAACTTCTCCTTGCCAGAACCCCAGCTGGCACCTGAGGACATCCTGGTCTTGCTTAGTCTCACCTGGCCAGCCTGTGAGAAGGGAGGTCAGTTACCATGATGACCTCAGTCTCCGACCACATTCATGGCCACCATTCCCCCCTTTGCTTCAAGCCATCCCTGTGTGTTCTCCCCAGTGTCTTCCTCCTGGCTTCTGGAGTCTCAAGGCCACACTGCTGAACCCCTGTTCTTACCCTTTCCCGTACCCCAACTCCCATGTCCTACTGCCTCCCTTGTGGCAAAGTTTGAATTCTGTCCTTGTCTGTTTACTAGGTCATCTGCAGCTATTTTGGCCAAACATCTTGCTCCCTGTTTAGACGCAAATATGTTTATACATTGTCCCTCATTCAAAATGAAAACAGTGATTTCATCAGGAGATTTCTGGAAAGGTGATTTCTTAAGCCAAGGAGCAAGTCTAAATGATGGCCATGTCAAACATCTTGTTATTTTGAAAGGCCCTCTCAGGTTGGTGTTGACTGAGGGTCAGAGATACTTGGAAACAGTACCAGCCTTTATTCCTTTTGGAATTTCACTGGCTTGGTTTCTGCAGGATGGTTCTTGGGGTTGATCATAGATCTCTAAACTAGAGCTCTTCTGGCTAGTGGGACCCAGTCCTGTTACCTAGGAAACCTATAAACACATTTAGAGCTGAGGAGGGGCCCACAGAGCTCTCTTGGGAATTGTCCTCAACCTGAATTGTGACTATCTACAAACATTGCCAATAAATAGCATTATAAAGAGCAAATACTTTATTTCTAAGCCACCCACTCTATACCGAGAGCTCCGATTTGCTGCCATTCATCTTCAATTCCCAAATTAAGGCTACCTGCATGTGATGTTCACGTTTTTTTGCTTTGCCCATCTCTGTGATACACATTTACCACAAGGATGTGCACTGGCAGATTCTCCCAGCCTTTTTTTAGGTGTGTTCACATATGTATTTCACTGCCTAGTTTTATGGAATTTTGTGCATATTTATTTTTATATCCACTGTTCAAAATCAGTTTGCTTTTTAAAGATACGTTTTAAGATCAATCCATAAAACAAAGTGGCCTTAATCTTTAGAGAATTAAAGTCAGTCACACCAGTACATTTTAAACAGAAAGGAAATACATATGCAGTGTGATTTTTTAAAAAAAACTGCCAAATGTTTAAATAAAAAATTTAAAATTTATTACAGTAAGAGACAGTGTCATTAATCTCCCTCAAAATGGTGGCCTTTGCTGTGAACCCAGCTGTCCATCATTCCTCCCACTTTCTGAAGCAGCTCTGAAAGTCTTTCAAGTCTTCAGTGCTGCTGTTATGGCCACTTTGATGTCCTCGTCAGATCAAAACAGTGAGTGCAATTCCTGTCAGATGAAAACATGGCGGGCATCCTCGCCCACCCTTCTGACAGGATCTGGCACCGTGTGACACCTGGCTCTTCCTGAAAGTCGGAATGACCTTGAGAGCCTCGCGTAGGAGGACTTCCAGAACTGCTTCAGAAAGTGGCAACAGTGATGGGATACATGTCAGTGATGAATGCATGTGTGGTATTCAAATAGGGGGTGGCATTTTGAGAGGAATTAATGGCAGTGTGCCTTTTACTGTAATCATTTTTACAATTTAAGTGTACACCATATTTTTATCATGCCTCAAATTGTGTGTAGCTTAATACAATACTTCTTTATTCTCTTTCTTCTCTGTGTTAACCTGACCTTTTCTCAAGTGACCATGGTATAAATTAAAATGTAATCCTTGAAGAAGCATTGTTGTTGTTTAATTCATCTTTTCTTTAAAACAGATGAGCCTAACATTTTTTTCTTTTTTAAATATCCAAATTAAGTGCTTTGTACTTCTCTGCTTCCTCTGGATTATTATTGATTCTGAGACCAACATGACCCATGATTTTAAAAAATGTTTTTCCCGCCTCTCGTGGAAGGATATATTCATAGCTTATACAGTCAGATTTATTTTAGCTTAGTTTATTGGTAGTAGGAATTAAACCCATGGCCTTTGCTCTGAGCTACATTCCCACCCTTTTTTATTTTTTATTTTGAAACAAGGTCTCACTAAGTCACTAAATTCTCCAGGTTGGGCTCAAACTTGCAGTCCTGCCTCAACCTCCCAGAGTTCTGGGATTATAGGTGTGCACCATCATACCCAGCTAGACTGGCTCTAAACCAAGTGTCTAAGTCCATTTGGAGTGCTTTAAAAGAATTCTTTAGACTGGGTAATTTATAAACAGTGGAAATTTACTGCTTACAGTTCTGAAGGTTGGGAAATCCAAGATCAGGGTGCCTGCAGATTTGGAAGTTCACTTCTGCTCATAGATAGTGACCTGTTGGTGCATCCTTATCTGGTAGAAGGGGGTGGGAACTCCCTGCAGGTTCTTTAATAAGGGCGCCAGTCCATTCACAAGGGCAAAACCCTCATGACTTAGTCACTTCCTCAAAGACCCCATCTCTTATTATCACTACTATAGGGACCAGATTTCAGTGTAAGGTTTTGTTTGTTTGTTTTTGTTTGTGAGACAGAGCCTGGCCATGTAGTCCAGGCTGACCTCAAACTCACTGCATTCCTCCTGCCTTGGCCTCCTGAGCGTTGGGATCACAGGCTGTGCCACCACACCCAGCCAGTGTGAGATTTTGTGGGACCCATCCAGGCCATAGCGCCAACATTTCTCCTATCTGCTATGTAAATAAACACATCATATTCAAGAGGAAGTTGGTGATACCAGGCTTATCACTTGATCTTGGAGAGTACAGAGGTATGAATGAGTTCAGCTAGGTAACGGATTTACAGTCTCTGTAACAGTCTCACAGCAAATGCCAGATAAGCTTATGTGGAGTAGAAGCATCCTAAGAACCACTAGGTAGCCACTGGCTTCTCATGACTCCACTGACTTTGCATATAAAGCAAATAAGACTCTGAGCGTGAGTGTGGCCATTCACAGAAGTCAGCAAAAACCAGGTGATGACTTAACATTTACTGATCTAACACCTGCTGAACTAATATCTGACATCCCCCCCACATTGCCTAAATCATCTTCTTTACTACTTTTTAATTAGGCAGATACTTTTTAAATTTTTAAAAATTTTTACAGATAAAGAGGATGAGACTTTGAAAGGTTTCATAACATGCCCCAGATCATACTTTCAGTGACTACGCTACTCTACTACTACCTTCCTACACAACATGCCAGATGGAAATGACAAGCAAAGCCTCTAAAATTCCCTTACTGGCTTTTTGCCTAATGAGCCATCTTCTTTGCAGAGCCTCCCTCTTGCCATCCACTCTGGGGAGGCAGGTTGCTAAATAAGCTAAAGGGATGGCTAATGTTGCAATTTGAAACCCTTGAAAGCAACCATAAGTTAAGCTATAAAAGTCTCTTTTAATGAGAAGAATCCATGTCATATGGTACATCTCAAGTCCTTAAATCTTCCTTCTTTCTGCCCTCTTCCTTCCTTTCATATAAGTTCTACCACTGAGTTACACCAGTAGTCCCCAAGACTTTGTATCTCATAGCTACAAGAGGCCTTGGTGACCACTCCTTCCAACATTTCAGTTTAGAAATGAAATAAATGGGTCCCAGTAATTGCAAGCAACTTGCCCCAGGTTATACCATTGTTCAGTAGTAGGTGGGCCTGTCCTCAGCGGCCGGGGCTCTTAGTTCTGGAGTCTCTGTCCATCACAGTGCTGTTTGTCTTTATCCGAATCATTTTGCAGTCAAAAATTTCTAAGTTTAAATATTTTAATTAAATAAAAATTAGGAAAAAAAATGTAAAAGACTTAGAAACATAGAAAACCAACTAGTACCATTTGGCCCAATTTTTTTTTTTTTTTGCATTAATCACTATATTTTGGCTTAGGAATTTTTTAATGTGAATCATAAAATGAGAGCATTTTAGCATTGCTTCCTTAAAACGCAATAACTGTGGTTAACTTGGACTGTGTTTCTGAAGGTAATGGAAATGAATCTGTAAATTGAAAATTCCAACCTCAGCAGTCTTTTCTGTCCAGTCTGCATTATAGGATTATTCATGAGGCTCCTGTATTACTGCAGGAAGCTTGACACTTGGACATGTTCTGGATGAGCTGACATCTCTGCTCTCCCTCCTCCAGGACCCCCAAAGGGCTCGCTGACATAACGGGGGCCTAACTGTTCATCTGTCTTTCCTCCACCCAGCATGGCACCACACTCCTCATGGTCGCCTCCTATGCTGGCCACATGGACTGTGTGAGGGAGCTGGTTCTGCAGGGAGCAGACATCAACCTCCAAAGAGAGGTAGGTGAGGTTGCGCATTTGAATCAAAGTGACCGGGCTAAGAAATGTGAAGCCCTTGTAATTGTGAACTGGCAACAGAGACAAAAGTTGTCATTGCTCTTCTCCTTAAAGCCCATTGCAGAGTTTATGCTGCCTAAAATACAGTCCAGGTTAGACCATTGTAGGAAACATCTGAGTTAGCTACAACAGTCAATTTTGTGTTGCTATAACAGAATATCTGGGATCCAGTACTTAATATAAGAAAAGAGGTATATTTCACTCACAGTTTTGAAGGTTCAGAGTCTGAGAATGGGAATCCCCATCTTGGCTTCATCATAACATGGCAGAGAAGCAGAAAGTGATGCAGAAGGGAGCGAGCAAGTGGGTTGGCCTTGCTTCATAACAACCCACTCTCGTGAGAACTAGTTCATTTCATGAGAGCAGCATTCGTCTATTCCAAGATAGTGCCCACCAACGACTGCTTTCCCCTGGGCTGCCCGCCCCTAAGCAGTTCTAGCCCCACACTGGGGACCAAGCTTCCAGCGCAAGAACCTTCATAGGACACATTCAAACCATATAAATAACCAAGCCTCTTACCACATTCCTTAAACACTCATGCATTTCCTTGCAAGTATCAATTCTTTCTTCCCTTGGGATGAAGTGTCATAAAACAGAGGAGACCATTATGTTTAGTCACTAGCTTCTTCATAATGAAGCTCCCTTGCTAGGACATCTCAGCCATCCTCGGCACACCATGTTTTCAGAGGACTTCTCTGCCTGGCCATGTATTAAAAAAAATGTCCCCAGAGGCCATGTGGGTAAACATTGGACTAAAATGTGAGCTGTGCCCACACTTTATGCAGGGACCAGCATGGGAGTTTGATCTCACCAGAGAATCCATTCTTTTTTTTCTCTTTTTTTGTTGGAGACAGGGTCTCACTATGTAGTTAAGACTGACCTGGAACTCACTCTGTAGCCCAGGCTGGTCTCAAACTCACAGCGATCCTCCTGCCTCAGCTTCCCGAGTGCTAGGATTATAGGCATGCGCCACCACACCTGGCCGAGAATCCATTCTTGATCCAACACCAAGAAACAGTAGGGAGACTAGTGTATTTTAATGTGGGGTTCAGGTCTCTTTTAGTTACTTTTTTGTTGCCAAGATAAAATACCCGACATCCAAAGTTAAAGGAGGAAAACTTTATTTAGCTCACAGTTTGTAGAGGTTTTAGTTCAGAATCCGCTGTCTCCAAGTCAGGGTAGCATTGCAGAGGAGAAATAGTTCGTGGCAGAAGGTAGCAAAGCAATAAGGGATGACCACAGCTCTTTCGGTCCCTTGTATCTTATCCAGGCTACTTAGGGCAGGCAGTACTAACACCCTTAATCCTAGTGCCCTTGAGCCTAGCTACCATTGCACCATGAATCAATGCCAGCATCACACACTGTTGATCCAGCCTCCTCTGGCCGCATGAGGCTTTGGGACACAGCCATAACAAGGTCTGAGAAAGCTCTGTCTGTTTCTAGGCTGACATAGGACCTAGTAATGCAGCCTTTGTGGACACGTGCTCTGCTCATCTCAAGAGTGAATGTGGCCTCTCAGTTCCCGCTGACACAGCCCTGAGATGGGCATCCTGGGCACACTTTAAATCAGACTGGGAACTTGATTTTCTATGACCCATGTTTACCCCAGGGTCTGTCTTACACTTGTTTCAGAAAAATGCTTCATTAGCCAAACTTTCACAAAGCAAATACGCCTGTCCTTCTAACTTGCACCACTGGTACCAGTTGGAGAATCCCGTAGGGCTTCTTTCCAGGTTCTTGGTGTCCCTAACAAAGAACTGGACATACATACAGAAAAGGCAATGAAGGTGTATATTTACTGGGGCAGAAAAGGAGTACACTCTTGCAGAGTGAGAGCAAGCCAGTGAAAAGGCTCACAGCAGCCCAAGGATGGGAGAAAGGTGTCTTTTGTACCCCAAATTCCCAGGTTATTCCCCTTTTATGCAAATCAGGCTTTGGGAAAGTCATCCTGTCACTCATTTGGCATCATGCCGTGTATAAAGTGTCCTGTCAAAAAACTGATCAGATTTCCTGTTATGTGTAAATGAAGGATCAGACATAGTGTCCTTTGATTGCTTGTGACTATATACAAATAAACAGCACCAGATTCAAATGAAGAATTGAAAATGGCAAGTTTCTCATTGGTCCAAAATAGCACTTTTCTGATTGGTTCTGTGTATAGTGAACTGCATACATCACTGTATTTGGGGTTTCCCTTCTCCTGGGAGTGTCTCTCACCCTGTTGCCCTGTTTTACCACCACATTTAAGTGGAGCAAGTTAAGACACTGTAGGTCTAGGAACCGTGTCCAGAGTTCCAAGATGTGTCCAATTGTCCCTCTTCTGACTCCCTGGGTGATGAAGTCATTGACTCTGGACCAGGAAAGAGTGATACTTGCCTGACAGACTCTGGGGTCTGGTTCCCTGCAGGCCTGCTTCAGAAAGGCTAGTTTGCTTGGAGGAGCAGGATAGAGAGACTGTAGAAAAATTAATCTTCTAACAGATTCATCTGAGAATTTCCATAACATTAAATCATTTTATTTTTTACTTCAGCAATTAATTTGCCTCTGGGAAGAAAATCTTTGGACACATTTAGAATTATAGCTTAAAATTACCCTCATCTTTTTCTTTTTCCTCTCTGCCTTCTGGTCCTTATTATAACTTTAAAGCAAAGACAGATTTTCCTCTAATAAAAACAATATGGTTCTGGTCTGTGTACTCAAAAACATTATCCTGAAGGGCAGCTCCACTGTGCACAAAAATCTCTTTAGAACAACTGAAAAGATCAGGGAAAAGAAGGAAGCATTTGAATTCTAGCCAGAGTGTGGTTTTATAGTTTATAGTTTATATTTATCTGTTTCCTTGCAATGGCTCAACTGATTCTGGAAATGAAAACTCTTATGCATTGAGATCAGTGGCCCTTGAAGACACAACAAAGTATACTCAGCTATGGCTTAAATGATGGTGCTAATAAGTGTTCAGCGGTCTCTTAAATTTCCTGAGATTGTACCAATCCAGAGCCATAGAAGAGCCAGAGGGAAATCAACCTCACTTGCCCTTTGGAAGCCGAACAAGGGTGCCTTGCTGTGCTTTGGAACTTACTCTTGCAGAAGAATTACAATTGTTAAACCATTTTTGAAGTATCAGAGTATTTGTTTCCTGAAAAAGTACCTGTCCTTGTTTTTTTGGCTTGGCTGTCTAGATACACAGAGCTTTCTAGAGAAGCAAAGTTGAAGCTAATGATCCTGAAAGGCTATTGCTGTGGATAACCAGCAACAGTGGTGACGGTAACTCCCAGGCCCTGGAGTTGCCAATGCAATTGGCAACCAGCCCTGGATTTCATAGTAAAGTACACACACTTAAGACTTTTTTTCACATTCCAGACTGAAGTCTAGATTCTGTTGGCTACAGATTGCTATATTCATGTATATAATTACTGATAGTATATAATCCCAAAATTGGCTCAAACAGATCGAGAAATTTGTTGAAGAATAATTCCTTTCTTTCCACGATGAAACAACTCCCTTGTTAGTTTCTAAAACTGAATATCTATTAAGGTGACAGTTTCCCTGTTCTGCCCAGGTTTCTTCATTCAGACCTGATTATGTACATTCTGGAACCCAGTATCCACCATGCATCAGAGAGCATTGGGGACTTCCTCCCACTTGTGTCTGTGGGAACCAAGGAGAAAGCTATTTCTTACCACAGGCAGAAAGGCTCTGTGAATAGTCATGTCACCTCTTCCTGCTGGAGCACAGCCTGAGGTTGGGGGTTATGTCTGGGAAGGTGTTAGCTGTTCTGCCTCAGTGTGAGCCTCACTGTTTCTCCCGCAACACAAAAACTTAAGAACAAGCTATAATCATTGTAGCCCTAAGGACCTGCTTTCCTGCACAGCTCCAAGTGAGCTGTGGAAAGATTTTCTTTTCATTGTGCCTGGGAAAGTGTAGTGTTGGCTTCAAAGTATGGAAGAGAAGAACATCTTTGTAGGAAAATGTGTATTGCTCAAAAGTGTGGGATGGTGATTCTGCACAACTTCGTCACCTGTCTTTAGGGGAGAGGTGCTTGTAAAAGTGGAGGGCTGGGTGCCAGGGATTTAGCTCAGTGTTTCTGCCACCTGCCTTGTAAGTGCAAGGTCCTAAATTCAATCCCCAGTATGAAAGAAAAGAAGAAAGAAAGAAAGAAAGAAAGAAAGAAAGAAAGAAAGAAAGAAAGAAAGAAAGAAAGGAAGGAAGGAAGGAAGGAAGGAAGGAAGGAAGGAAGAAAGAAAGAAAGAAAGAAAGAAAGAAAGAAAGAAAGAAAGAAAGAAAGAAAGAAAGAAAGAAAGAAAGAAAGAAAGAAAGAAGAGTGGAGGGCTAGGAACCAATGACACTAAGACTCATGTCTCCATATAGCATACCATTATGAAAAGTGAAAGCAGGCTGCTATAGTAATGCCAACTTGGAGCTGGGGATTTAGCTCAGTGGTGGCGCCCCCTGCCTCACAAGCACAAGGACGCGAGTTCAATTCCCCTGACCCCCCCCCAAAAAAATGCCAATTTGGAGAAATATTTTGAGCCCATTTTCATACTGAGCTCCAATGGGAGGAGTCTGTGGGTGAATTATTTATATTTTTTTCTTTTTTGTGGTACTGAGTATTACACCCAGAGCATTCACACTGGCTGCATCACTAGCACTTTTTTATTTTTTACACTGGGACAGGGCCTTCCTAAATTGCCCAGGCTGGGTTCAAACTTGCAGTCCTCCTGCCTCACCCTCCTACAGTGCTGAAATTACAGGCATACAACAGATTAGGTTTATCTTTACACTGCCATTTTACTACTCTTCCTACTAAGTTTTTTTTGTTTTGTTTTTTTGTTTTGTTTTGGTACTGGGAGTCGAATTCAGAACTTTGTACTTGCTAGGCAGGCACAGTGCCACTGAGCTACATCCCCAACCCTCTACTGAGTTTTGAAACCAAAAATTTCCCCATGTGAATAAATGCCACTGTTTCCCAAACATTATGCCAAATATACTAGTTTCCTATGGCTGCTGCAACAGACTACCACAAACTGTGTGGCTTTAAAAAACCAGGAATTTATTTTCTACCATCTGGAGGCTAAAAATCCAAGCTCAGGGGGTGGGCAGGGCCATACTCCCCCTCCAGGGCTGGCACCAGGGCAGAATCATTCTTTGCTGTTTCTGCCTTCTGGTGGCCACAACATTCCTTGGCCTGTGGCCACAGCACTCCAGCCTTTGCCTGTGGTCATGTTGCTTCTTTATATCAGCTGTCCCTCCACCTCATTATTTTCATTACTATTATTATTTTTGTTGTGGTAAAATACACATAATAAAATTTACCATTTTAACCATTTTTAGGTATATAGTTCATTGGCATAAATACATTCACAATATTGTGCAGCGACCACCACTCTATTCAGTTTGCAAAGTGGAGAGTCCACACAGGAGCTCCCCATTCTTCCACCTCCAGTCCTTGTACTTTCTAGCTCCATCATTGTACTTTCTGGTTCTACAATTTGTGACTCCTTTAGATGCCAGGGAAGAACCTCACAAGGTCCTGAGTTCAAACCCTGGTACTGAGAAAAAAAGGAAAAGAAAAGATAAATGCCAGGCAGAATCCTGCCATATTTTTGTGACAGGCTTACTTCATTTAGTGTGTCTTCAGGTTCATCTATGTTGTCATATATGCAGGATTTACTTCCCTTTTAAGCTAATAATCTGTAGCCCTCATTTTGCTTATCCATTCCTCCGTAGATGGACACTCCCATCGCTTCCATGTCCCAGCTGTTGTGAACAAGGCATCTCCCTCATTCTTATAAGGACATTTGTCATTGGATTTAGGGCCCAACAGACAACCAGAGACAAACTCCTCAAACCCTAAAGTTAGACTGAGGAATTAAAACCTCATCCTTGAGGTACCACCATACATCCTACTATACCAAGAATAAACGTTTCCTTCCACCTTGTCACTTTGCTGAACAAGGAAATGAATTGGTTTAAATGGAATGCCTTCCTAGGCTAGAAGGTTATATATGGAGTATTGTTTCTGTGTTCTTTGAAATGTATAAATCAAATGTACTTTAATAAAATGTCTTAAAGACAGCCTCTCCATCTCTCCCAGTCAGGTACAACTGCCCTGTTCTTTGCTGCCCAGCAAGGTCATAATGAAGTTGTGAGATTTCTCTTTGGATTCGGAGCATCCACTGAATGTAGGACCAAAGTAAGAAAAGCTTCTTGATTTCATACCCTGTTGGAGGATTTCAGCAGCCACAGCTATCAATTTTCTCCTCATCTGTGGTACAAAGTTGTGCTTCCCCTTTTACAAGATTCTCAAGCCTAAGGAAGTAGATTTTACAAGGTTACCTGGAATGGTTCGGGAGAGTCCTGAGGATTCCGTTCCAGACATTACATTTTTGTTTTGGACACAAAACTGGAGAATTTCATGGGGAATTTCTTCGACTCTCTTGCTTTCTATACTGGGACATTAAATTTTTAAGCAAGGAGGGCGCAATAGCAGGTGGCTTTCTGACTTTCCCTGTTCCCATGTGCTTTGTTCTATTTGAAGTCTAATCCCAGCACTATAATAAGAATTGTTGGAACTATTAATCTGATCCTGGGGAATCCAAGAGATTTCTAGAGATGATGGTTTGGCAGGCAGATTGTTTTCATGAGCTATCCTCACTGAAATATGTAATCCATAATTACAGTTTACACAGTTGGTCAAGTTAATGTGGCTCTTTCTTTAAGGAAGTTATTGATTTTCTTTCTTTCTTTTTCTTTTTGTGGTGCTGGGGACTGAACCTAGGGCTTCATGCATACCAGGCAAGCAATGAGCTACATCCATAGCTCTTTTTAAATTTTTTTTTAAACAAACTGCCCAAGCCAGCCTGACGTGGTCCTCCTGCTTCAGCCTCCTGAGCAACTAGGATCATAGCCATGTACCACCATTCCCGCTTCATTTTTTTATAGAGGAGTAAACCAAGACTGCATAGAGATCAACTTTGTGTTCATAATAATTTTACATGGTGTTTTATCATAGGAGAATGTGAACTGCCCTAAGAGTTTTATAATCATTAAGTTACTTCTGTTCTAATCGTTTAAAAAGTTCTTGAAAATTTTTCAAGTTGGAAACTTTTAGGTTTTCTTACCCATTGTATGTGATATTTAGATGTCAAGGGACTTTCCAGTAGGTTTTGTTTTTTCTGTTAAAAATGCTATTATGTAAATCTGAATTTCATACAGGGTTTCTATCTTTTCTAAATCCTGCTAGTGGACAGTGTTCCTCCCTCCAAATATAGAATATAATTTACAGTAATACAAAATATATTTTATGTATTTCATTTTTCATTATAAAAGTGATGCATGTAAAAAGAGAAAACTTTACGAACCTAAATCTCAACATTTTGAACTAAATCCATGCAATCTTGTGTTACCACACGGCTGCTTTTGTCGTCATGGTTCACAAGTTAGTACTGGCTCAGAGCCTTTGTACAGGAGCCAGTTTTGCTGTCCCAGAAGCCCACAGAACACAGGGCCCTGGATGAGCAATGTGGCACATTCCCATTAGGTCAGCTGCAGGTGCCTAAGAGACATGGGTGTCCCTTCCATGGGAAGCAGAGGCTGCAAATTTTAATATCATCCTGTCATCAAAATGGATTTTGTTTCAGCAACTCCTCTCTTGATGAATAAATCTATAAAAATTATAATCTAAAACTGCGTTTTAACGATGAAAGACATTCTTCTATCTTAATTGTTTTTACTATTCTGTTACCTCTTTAGGCAAAGAGCTAGGAAAACTGATCGGACAAAACTCAGAAACAGTGCCCGTCGCTGCTGTGAAGCAGTTGCTTGATGCCCCCAGCCTCAGCCTGAAGTCCCTCTCCTCTGCTTCCCCCTTCAAGGCCCAGCTCAACACCTTTCCCCACTATCTGGCCCACCCCTTGGTGAGGCCTCCTTCAGCCACTCTTTGTCACCCAGGATGTCCCCTGCCTGTGCCTGTATTGTTTCCTCTCATCAGGGTCGATTTTTATCTGGGGTTTATATTTTTTTAAAAACTACATTAATAAAGAATTAGAGACACAAGTTCAGAAGGGAGAACAAAATCACTTTAATGGAAAAAGGAAAATAAGCAGATAGGTAACTACGGTGTCGGAGGAAGGTAGAGTCCAGAGGCAGAATTAGAGCGGGGGGAGGGTCTTTGTTCTCTGCCCCTTTTATTACATGGCATGAAAGGGACTGTCCTTGAGAGATGTTATAACTTGATAGGCGATTTTGGGCTCTGAGAAGCCAAATTTGACCATTGTCCCTTCCATTGCCTACGTGCACTTTCTTGGATAAGCACTTCTGTGGTCCCTTTGTGCTGTCCAAGGGCTCGTCTTATGAGGCTTTTAAAGTAGAGCCCCACATTCAAGGACAAGTTAGCAAAACAAGGTCTGTGTACATATCAGTGCCTGAATATGGTGAAAGAACCACACAGTATGTATGTACTTATATATAGGTGTGTGAGTGTCTAGTGTTAGTGTATACTTTACGCACTGAATTTTTTCTATCATATAGCTCCCCTCTCCATGCCTTTTCTTTTTGTTTAAGTGGAGGTGGAGAGAGGAGGGCGTTGAGCCTTGGCCTGAAGTGAGCCAGGCCTTATCAGGTCTCTCTGTTTTTCCTAGCTATTCTCTCTAGCAGGAGTTAAACTCTTTATTTCCGTAAACCTCACTGAGGTCCTTTAACTTCGCCTGCCTATCCCCCAACTCTCCCTACAGTATGAACGCACGAACTCTTCCTGCAGTTTTTAACTGGTAGGACTACCTGCTTACTCTAATGACCCCACCTGACGGATCAAGGGCGAATTTTTGGAGCCATCCCGCAGCTATTGAATCAGACCTTCTGAAGCAAGAGTACTGGTTGAACAAAAACACTTCCCAATTTAGAAACCACATTGTAATATTTATGATTCGTAGTTTTGAGCCAGATGTAATATTCCTGAATTATTTATGATTAGCTTACATGTCCACAGAGCCAAACAACCGTCCCATCCTAGATGGGGAGACATAATGCCCTGTACACCTGAGAAAGACTATTAACCCATTTACACCAAAGGTTGAAATTTTTTGAGATTTTTACACAAAATTCATATGTTTTTGCCTAGAAAAAGTCAAGGAACAAGAATTTGAAGAGAAAAATTTATATTCTGTTCCATTGTTATGTATTCCAGAAATGGGGCACGAGGCATAAAAGCATTCATGGTTTTCACTGACCACAAACTCAGTGAGCCAGTAGTGTGATGCAGTTGGCATGAGAGCTAATTCTAATTTAGGCTGCAGAGAGATAAAAGCAGAGTAGATGGAAGAGTGAGATAGCGCACTCCGCCTCAGAGCACACCTACTACATTTAGGGCCCATACTTTAAAAGAGACTTGGACAAATTGACACATGCTCAGAGAAAAATAATGAGCAGCACAGAGAGAGGGCACATGGCATGTTCTGTCATTACCTTCCGTCTTATAATAAAGCAGATCTGGGCCCATGAAAGCAGTGGCCTCAGAGCGTTACCCATACAAGCACCTTAAACTCAGTGACCTGCAACTCAGTGGTACCAGAGGGAGGAGCCAGTGTCTGCCAAAAGGGTGTCTGGCCAGAAGCCGCTGGAGAAGCCAAGTTGAAAATGAGAAAACTTGGAACAGACTTTCTGTTTTGTTTCCCCTTGAGAGGCAGATAGATGATTTGCATTTGGTATGAAACATTTCTAATTCACAATAACTTGGTGAAATAACTGTAGTATATCTGTAGCAAGTCATCCAAGTATAAAACAAAATCATGACCTTAAAATGAACCACAAAAGGAGGAACACACCTATAATCCCAGCACCTGGGAGGCTGACTCAGGAGCTTACTACTAGCTCAATGCCACCATGGCCTGCGTAGAGAGTTCAAGGCCAGCCTGGGAAAATTCTCTTCCAAACTTCTGTCTCTGTGAGAAGTATCTGCTTGGTGAAACATGTACCTGCACTCCCTCCAACACGTTTATATTTTCATATCCGTAGGATGGGGGCACTGCCCTGTTGGCTGCCAGTCAGTATGGGCACAGGCAGGTGGTGGAGACCTTGCTGAAGCATGGAGCCAACATCCATGACCAACTTTACGTGAGTGTTTCACGGGGGCCTGCAGGGGACGCTCATTCCCTTATCACACCGAAGCTGGAAATGCCAACTTGAAAAAATATTCTGATAAACAGTGGGACTTGAATCTCAGACATACAGAGGGAAAGATCTAGTTGGCCAGATGAGCTTTTTCCATTAATATATATATTTACCCATCTTTGTTATCTTTTTTGTTGTTGTGCATCTGAGACATTTCAAGTATCTAGGTAGTTAAAGTCTTCAGAAGTTGTATGCGTGTAAGACAAGCCACATGGCCCAGCATAGGGACTTGCTGAAAGCCAGAACAGAGTTGCTTGTTGTAGAGTTATTTGTGAGGAAGAGCGCGAAGAGGAAAAATCAGAGTATTTGAAAAGAGTGGGGTTGAAGGATGAAGACTCGTGAGATGGGCGCACACTGCGGTGTAGACTTCTGAGAGGCTTCCACAGCTCGTGTGGGTCTCTTGGCAGCCAACTGGCAATTAGCATGTCACCCAAGGGCTCTTTTAATTGTCACCGTACTTCCGTGGGATTAGTGGCAAATGTTCTTCCAATTTGTAGGGAAAAAATTAAAAATGGAGAGATGAGCCAACTTGGCAGAGTTTCTTGGAGAGAAGGGAAGAATTTCTGCTTATAATTATCTAGGAATCACATGTTGGGCTACCCTACACCTACATTAGCCCCATGCCTAGGGCACTATGCTTTCATAGCCAGGTAACGAGCTGTGTAGGAGTGCGCGTCTCCCTTCAAATCTCCTTTCCAGGGTTTACCTAGTTAGCTCTGACAAATCGCAGGCCCTTTGAAGTCCACAGCCACTCACCTGAGCCCCTGTGCGGCAAAATCCACAACCTCTTTGGGTCTGCAGCGACACCCGTGGAATGACTGACTCGAAATATGATCTCAGAGAGTGATTCTCAACTCTGGCTACCCTTTAGAAGTGTCTGAGCGCTTAAAAAAAAAAAAAAGTGATTTCCAAGCAATCAAGCTGGAATCTCTAAGGTCACAACTTGAACAACAGGTGGTTCTGAATGTGGCTGAGCCTAAGAAACGCAAGGCAAGCTTCAGCTATCTCTTTGGCTGTGTCGAGGTAAAGTATAAGTGAGAGTGTACACAAGTGTATGTTTGTGTAGCTTGACTAGAAGGAGCCACCCACTGGAAATCCGGTACCCTCCACGTGACACACCTGGATGGATGTGCAGGGAGAAGTGTTTCACCTGTGGTTCACATTCCCTGTGAGAGGTACAGTAGTTAGTGGGTGTTTTCTGCTAGGCTGGGCTCTGGTTTTCTGTCACCATCTAGAAACCAGTGATACTTGCTGTGGTTTTGGATGAAGTGAGCGTTCAAGGGAATGAATGCTCTCAGCTGACCAGTTCATCGCTGAAACCACCAAGCAATGGGTTCCTAAGAGAAAAATGCCCAGAAGGGACAGACCCCCATTAAAAAGGAAAACCCAAGATAACAGTACTGCATTTGTTGAGCTTTATGGAGAATTGCCTTTTGTGTTTATAGGTATTGGTGGCTGCAGAGAGAGACTTCCTAGAGACTCTTTCTAGGGCAGTTTTTCTAATCACATTGTGCTTCTTTCTTTTCTTTCTTTTTCTTTTTTTTTTTTTTCTATTTGTAATTTTTTTTTTAGGTGCTGGGGATCGAAGCAGGGCTTGTAAATGTCAGGCAAGTGTTCTACCACTGAGCCACATCTCCAGGCAATTCATTGTTCCTTTTACTGCTTGGGAACACTGCACACTGAGGGACATGGGTAAAAGAGCATGAAAGACAGAAGTGTTAAGTGAAAGGGCACTGTCACTCTAATTCATAAAAACACACAAACTAGGTTTGAGGTATATGGTTTTTGTTTTTATCTAAACCTTAGCTCTTAATTGACAAAAAGATAGAAATCTAAGAGGGGAAGGAAATGGAAAATTAGAATCTACGTTTTTAATTTCTTCTAAAAGAAATGTGACACATGATTTTTGAACACTTAACTTTGTTACCTCTCAGGATGGAGCCACTGCCCTCTTCCTAGCCGCCCAAGGAGGTTACTTGGATGTCATACGATTACTGCTGTCCTCAGGAGCAAAAGTCAACCAACCAAGGCAGGTAATGTGCGTCGGGGAGCTCTGCTCAAATGGGGGTTATGAGGCAGGCAGGGCTGGGTGGCCCTTGGCAACACATACCTGAGATAACCAGCAGCTCCCGGCATCCTCAAACCCTTTTGCCTCCGCCATGAAAAGTTAATCTTTGAAAGGTTTGTCTTGTTCTGTGCTCTGGAGTCACCAAGAAAGGTCACAAAAGCAAGCTGACATCACAGTGTTGAATCTTGAGTGTTTGGTGTCTGAGGTCAAGTACACATTCTGCCACCTCCTGTTCAAATAAATTATGGCTGCACTGAGGTAAGAAGTGTTGGCCAGCCTGGGACGTAGGTAAATAGAGGCAAGTCCCTGCCCGGTCCCCAGTTGATATGCTGCCTTATCTCCTCCTGGCATAGGGGGAATACGTGTAATTCCCAACCCTATTACAAGTTTGTGTTCCCGAAATCGAAGAATGAGTTCTGAGGAAAAACCGAGGTTAAGAGTAGAAAATTTTATTGAGGGAGAGACAGCTCCTGAGACAGAAAGGGACCCAGAAAGTGGGTTGCCACAGACTCCACTCACAGGGTAGGTTTCACAGGGCAAATCAAGGGGTGGGTACAAGGTGGGACAAAACTATGACCAACCAAGAGGATGGCAAGTATAGTCAGTCACTCAGGGAATACTGACCCACTGTGGAATGGAGTCCTGTAGCAGATGTACGTGGAAGACCCCAATGACCTTGATCGTTAATCCATAGCTTTAGTCTCGTCTTTATTTTAGAAGTCTAAGTCTTCGTCTTAGTGGACTGGAAAAACAAGGCCCACCTTTCACAAGATAATGGTTTCTTTATAGATCTCAAAAGGGTGGTACTGAAGCTTTGTTTATCCCTCAGAGATACTAGGCATTTTATCTTTATCTTGAGGCCTGACATTCAGTGGATGCACCTTCAGCCACGGTTTTTTTGGGTTCTCACCCTCTGCACTGACTCCCTCAAGGGCCTGACTGCCCACAGTGTCACCTCACTTAGCTGTCTAGATCAGTCCCACCACTTCTTCCATCAAACCTAGCAGGAGCCCTGCCCTTGGACTCTGAGTGACTAGATTCTGCGCCTTTAGCTCTTGGCTTGAAACTTCCTTTCCCAACAGCCTGCAGATCAGTTAACCGATACTGAAAGGAACAAGATAACACAGGCAGCACTTTATGAAGGATCAAGAGCCCTCCACAGAAAAGGCAGTAAAATTAGTTGCTTGTGTATAGGAATTACTTCTGCCCTAATTAATTAGTTTTTAACAAAACATTTCAGATTAAAGCAATAGTATAGCTTTATTTTAGAGAAAAGTCAAGCCTGTTTCTTAACTAGTGATGATGCCTCCCAGGCAGGTTCCCACTGTAATTGATCAGAAAATTGATCAGAGGTTTTTATAATGAATAGCTATAGAAACCTTTATGTTTGCCTGAGCACTTGGCCACAAGCTTCTTAGGTTTTCAGAAGCCTAAACTCAGAAGAAACCTTAGGAAATAAGGAGCCTTTGGAGCTGGCAGTGGTGGCACACATTTGAAATCCCAGCACTTGGGAAGGCTGAAGCAAGAGAATCACAAGTTTGAGCCCAGACTGGACAATTTAAGGACTTGGAGAGACCCTGTCTCAAAACCATAACTTGCTGTGTGGTTTTGAAATCAAGAGCAAATCAGTCTCTCTTGGACTTTATCTGAAAATTAAGAGACTAGGCAAGATGAGCCTGACAATTTCTTCAAGCTCATAAAGCTGTGAAAATTGTTTCATTCAACGTTCAATCAGTATTTCCTGAGCATTTATCATATCCCAGGCACTGCTATGAATATAAGACTACATAATTAGGATTTTAGAGACCTTCTTAGTTTTAGATGGCCTCAGAAATACTCTTGGAATAGGAAGAAGTTTAGAAAAAGTTGCACCATCAGACCTGCCAAAGCTTACATTTAGGGGTAGGAGTTTAGTGTTTTCTTGTCAGTCCTTATCTTGAAATTGTTGATTGATTACGAATCAGAGACTTCATTTTGCCAAAATTAACTAAAGGAATTGGCTGCTTATAAATTTTATGTTGAGGCCATTATCAAACAGACCACTATAAACTTAGACATGAGATATTGTCAAGATTCTCTCCAGTAAATCCTTCCAAAGTAATTAATGCCTGGCACTTTAACCAGTCTATTTGTGAAGCAGATTGTATCATTCGTAGACTTCAGGTATTATTTAAAACACACAGACATGCACAGTCCAGGCACAGTGGGACATGCCTATAATTCCAGCTGCTCAGAGGCTGAGGCAGAAGCTTGCACGTTTTGAGTCCAGCCTGGGCAACGCAGCAAGACCTTGTCTCAAAATGGAAGTTCGGGGATAAAGCCAGTGGAAGAGCAGCTGCCTAGTATGAGTGAGGCTCTGGGTTGACTCCCAAGTACTACCAAAAAAAAAACCAAAAAACTAAAAAAAACCCAAGTTGATATAAGAAGTGGTATTTCAATTATTATTACATAATGTGCATTTGATCTTAAATTGACTCATGCAAAGATGCTGAAGCCAAGAAGCTAAAGAATAAACCAGCATCACAGGGGTAACCGTAACACACTGCATCTGTTATCCTCACCTTAAAAGTGGATGGCTGGCCCGTGGGTGAAGATACCTGGTTAAGGACTGAATGACTTACCCTTCCAAAGATGGCTTTTTCAGCCTTGGCCTTTGTACTGAGCTACATCTCACACCTCCTCACACCTCCGCCTTTTATTTTTTTCTTTTCTTTTGTTTTTTGTTTGTTTGTTTGTTTTTTGAGACAAATCCTAAGTTGCCTGACTGGGCTGGAACTCGTGATCCTCCTGCTTCATCCTCCTAACATGCTGGGATTGTAGGCATGCACTACTGTGCCTGGTTTAATGTAGTTGTTTTGAATGTAAGAGTCCAACTCTAAAACGACTACTATTCAAGGAAAGCATTTTTTTTAATAATATAAGAATTGCCTGGTGGGGGGAAGTAATGAAATCTTTCCTTTGCACAGGGTACACTCACATGATTGTGCTCTCGAATCATACACAGTTTTGCTACCTGTCATGAATTTATATTTAGAGGCTGTTACCTATCCAGGTCAGTCTAGTGTAAGTCCTGCCTTCTCTGAAAGTATAAACTCTGCTAGCTTTATTCTGCTTTGAGAAAACAAATAATGCCACGCATACCATAAATGTTTAAAAATACAAATAATGGGCCAGGAATTAGCTCAGTGGCACCACACCTGCCTTGCAAGCACAAGGTACTGAGTTTGATGCCTGGCACCAAAAAAATAATAATAATAATAATGACAAAAGTGAACAAAATTGATACCAGTTCTGTCTGACTTGGTTGCAAGGTTTAAAAAAGAAGTGTAATTAAACGCTTCCATTAAAATGGCCTGCACACTGCTGGGCCAATTCTGTTCTGAAATCTCCACTGATTTATTGAATTGTTATCAGAAAATTCTTGAATCTGCCAAATGAAGACAAGAATATTTGCCTGATTTCATTTCTTAATGTTTATAGATGAATCTGATTTATAATTTTATACCACCACTTTTTGGGGTCCCACCATTTTAGGTATTCTGTGACAGGATGTTCACAAAGTCACACTGAAATTACTCAGCTGACATTTGATCCAGGCTGTAGGGAATCTGAGTTGTGGTAGGAATGACTTTCCCTTGTAACTCTGTCATGGAGAATTAATGGAGACCATTTTTTTGTACTCTGTGCTATGGAATCATAATCACAAAGCAAGGCACAGTCAGACATTGGAACAACGATGGTCTTGATTTAAAACTTGAAATGATTTTCCTTCCACATTGTGTTAAGAGTCATGAAGATGATTGAAATCCACATTCGCTATCAAAACTCATTTTCATTTCTTTGCAAGTGTCCTCAACAAGCAAGAGTTGTCAAACCTTTTAATCACTACCTGTCCACTTAATCAGGTTTTTCTGTCAACAAAATGCCTTAACGTATGCTTTTTCCCAACTCAGTTCACCTGCCTTATTAAAACAATATTTTCTTTCTTTCTTATTTTTTGTTTTTTGGGATGGAGCCTCATCATGCATTTCAGGTTGGCCTCAAACTCACAAGAATCCTCCTGCCTAAGTCTCCTCAGTGCTGGGATCACAAGCCTGCACCACCGTGCCTGGTTAAAATAATATTTTCTTTTTTGTTGTTGTTGTCTTTTTTTTTTTTTTTTT